ACTCAAGGGCAAGGCCCATCACTTTGTGAACTTCATACCTTTGGCCTTGGCCCATTGATCCAGCCTCTCCAGATTGCTCTGCAGAGCCTTCCTATCCTCCAGAAATCAACACTTCTGCTAAAATTGGTGCTGTCTGCACGCTGACTGAGGGTAGACTTGATCCTCTAGTCCATCATGTTGACAGAAAGCATTTTTATGCCAAGTGGAATAGTTGTTTTGTAAACAGAAATCTTCAGTTGCTCTTTAACAGGCTTGTTTTCAAAATATGAGCATCTTGTTCTGTTTAGACATTTAACTATTATGCTTGTCATAGTTTGTTTATTAAATAGAAACCAGTCAATATAAACCTTGCTATGTTCAGAACCCACGCAGCACAGAGAAAATCTCCTCCACAATAAGCCAGGGGCAAAGCACTTCCAAGGTAAATGAATGTAAGCATGTGCTGCAGTATGCTTATTTAATAGTGCTGCAAAACCCTACTTAGTGAAATAGCAGAGTAGTCGAAAGAAAAGATTCATAAAGCAGCAGAAAAAAATCAATTGTGGGCCCCCTTTCACAACCAGAGAATAATCATCTAATGAAATTGAAAGCAGTGCATGCAACACACAGTAATTGTTCAATATAATTTTTGTATACAACTAGATTTAACCTCTGAAATTCAGCACTGCAGGGTACTGTTAAATTCTAAAGCTTTGCACATCAACAAGAAGATTGAGTCTCTCCAGGATACCAACCATTATCCAAACTGTATCTGAAGAAATCGCAAACACTGCTCAGGTCTCATCACCTACCTATTATGAGACAGCATTGGTCAAAGCCTCCCTGCAGTCAAGAAGTGAACTAAATAGGCTTTTCCACTCCTGTCATTAACAACAGCAAATTCTTCCAACATAAATTCAAACACAAAAGAGCAAGTGCCTTCATTATATATGACTCTAAGGAGAAGAGAAATGATCAAAACAGCATCACTGGAACAGAATGCAAGACAGAATCTGCCTTGAAAACACAAACAGAAATCAGGAAAATTCTTCCAATTATCATCAGAGAAAGGCAATATTTAAAAAAAATCAAAACAAAAAAACCCCATTACAACAGTTTTAGTTTTAGCTTGGTAAGCATGGAAAGTAGCTACCATTACTTCCCTTTTTTTCCACCTTGTTCTGTAGTTCAAGGGATAGGGCCAAACCCACAGCCAGGAGGTAGAACCTATGCCAGCTGCTGCCACTGCTTCAACAGATATTGGAAAAGCCAGTGAGACAAGGACAGCTAAGAGCATGTGTAAATCTGTAGGATCCCTAGCATGGCTATCAGCACCAACAAGCAGGAGAAGAAGCTCAAATTGAGCCTTGAACAGCTCAAGTTACCATTAATAAATCAAAACAGCCTTGGTTCAAATAGTTTGGATAGCAGAGACAATCTCTTAATAGATGTAATTTCTTCTGTTTCCAAAATTGCCATGTTTAGTGTTTATCAGTCAATTCCAACAAAGTCTTAACTGACATTACATCAGAGGCTAGCCAAGATTTATTCACAATAGATCAGCCATTAAAATGTACTATTTTCAAATTACAATAATCTAATTTTATAGATTCAGCGTCTAATGGACCCACAGCAAGACAGGCAAAATTCCCAGACTGCTAAGTACATCCTCTTTACCTGTCTCATCCATCCAGGCTGCCTAACAACATTACTGTGGACATCTCAAGAGAATTATTTCCATCACATACTGAGCACAAACTGCAAAGCCTCAACTTTTCACAGTCACTGCAACTTTTTTTTATTCCTTTAATTTCAATCAGTTGACATTCTTTTTAATAGGATGGGTGGCATCAATCCCTCCAGCAATCAGAGAAGATATGCAAAAAAGCCTGATTTCCCACTCCCAGACTTATTTTTGTTACAAAGCCCTCATGAGAAATAAATACATCAATAAAGAGTAAGGTCATTTTGGGAAAATATGCAGTAAGTATTCCCCGTGTAATAAGAGTTTAAGGATTGGTTTATAGAAGAGGAACCACATGTTGAATTACATCAAGCAGATAGAAAAGCTGCATTTATGTTCCTGAATAATCCAATCACAAAAAGAAAGAGAAAGTAAGTGGAAAACATCACTTGCAAAAGTTCTAGATTCTAAAAAGTCTTCCTCTTATGCTCTCTTTCTCTCTTGTAAAAATTTTATTTTTTGACATAAGCTCCAGAACTTTCTAGACAGAGAATTTTCTAGACTACAGTTCTATGTCAGGTGTATTTTTCTTTAAAACAAAAACAAAAAAATGAAATTTTCCAAAAAAAACCAGCCATTAACAAACCATCAGCAAAGTTCTTCTCAAATCAACAGCATCCCTTCCCACCAACATTCTTCACAAACTTCATCAGTTAAAACCAAAAAAAGAATTACAGGCTCATACATAGAAACTTATATTTGACAAACATTTCATTTAAAAAAAAAAAAAAAAAAAGAGATCATCTATTACCATTCTGTCTTGCACAACCTGCAAATGTAAGCACCTCTTCCTGAACCTCTTCAGGGAAAGTAATCACACAGCAGAAATTTAAGAATTCAGTAACTCTTGTCTTACTTATTAAAAGTGCTTAGCCAAAGCACTAAATATATGCCATTGGCAGCAATTGATTTGTGACACTACAGTTAACTCTGTGATGCATTTAACAAATAAAGGACCCCAGTTTCATCATGTAGAGAAGGACTTAGAAGGCAACAGCTGCCAGCACTTGGATACTGTTATTAGAAATGGTTTAGACAGTCCATATGCACAGCATTTATGTGCCTTCTAGGTCAGGCATTAGTAGCTAGATCATGCATTTGAATCACTGTGTGAAAGGCACCTTAAAATTGAGCTGGGGTCTGGGTTCACTTTCATCCATATAAACACAGAGCAGTTTAACTGACTCTTATGTTTAAAGTCAAGGTGCTGAATTTAGTCTCAGGCTCCTCTAAGACAATCCAGGCTGGGACAATACTGACACATGTGAACCAACAAAACACTGAGCAAAGGTAAGTAGTCTTTGGAAAGGCAGATTGCTGTAACCCATACAAAGAGACAGAAGAAATCAATTTCTCACATGGAAAAAAATAATATCCCTGTTTTTCTTAGTACTGTGCATCTATTCTACTCTGATTTTTTTTTCCCTTTGAAGAATAAAAAGTAAAGAACGTGAAGTCCCTTCCCTGGCTAGGCCTACACAGCTACCCAGAAAAAATGGGAGCCATTAGTTGATACAACTAAGATACATGGTGCAGTAATTTCTGAGTGTGCTGAAGTTGTATGCATATTGAAGCCAATGAACAAAAAGACCTTCCCCTCATCTGACCTAGTTCTGTCAAAGATTCACACATGGAGACAGTGGGTGTAGAGGTAACACATGCAGTATCTTCAAAAATTTTGGAAGACAACATCTCACAGTGAAAGACACTTAAGACCTTGATGGGGAAAGGAAAGCTGGCTGAACTCTAGAAAATTCAGAGAAGATACCAGAAGGCTGTCCAGACCTGTAAGTATACAATGAAATGAACAAAAGCAAATGTAAAAACAATTCTGGAAAAAGTGCCAGAAGGACAGTTGGTTTCAGTATAAAGCTACCTGATGCTGCAAGTATATTCCACTTGAAAGGAGATACAAATTTTAAGAATCCTCTCGGTTTTGTCTTTTTTTTTTTTCTTAAGCACCATGCAAAAAATATTGTAAAAGCCCATTACAATTGAAAAAGCATAATAAATTTTTCCAGATTCTGAATTAGTGCTGTCTGCAGTGTGACAGGTGCAGCATAAAAAGGCACTGTCCCAAAACAGTTTTCACACTAAATGTACAAAGAATAGCAGAAATAAGGATCAAAGGCTCAAAGAAACATTAATCTTTCATTAAATTATTCTAAAATGCAAATGTCAATTACCTCCTACCCAGACACTGGTAGCTTGGTAGGTTCTGCACAAACAGGGGAACAGGCTTTGCAGAAAGGCTGTGGAGTCCATCCTTGGAGCTACACAGAGCATGACCGTGCACATGCCTGAGCAACCTGCTGTAGCTGGCTCTGTTCTGAATGGGGTCATGGACTGGAGGATGCCCAGAGGCCCCTCCTACTCCAGCAATTCCATGATCAGATTAGAATGGATTTCTGAGAAGTTATTTAACAATGACATTTTTTTTTTATAAAGTGGATCAGAGAGGGTGCTCTGTAAAAAGTTAAAGTCTTGGGGAAAAAACCCAAACAGAATACAACCGGGAATGAAGTCTACAAATTATTTTTAAATCAGCTTGGTGGACAGAAGAGGACCTGGGACAATATGACAAATAGGACAATATGATGAGCATTGCTCATCATTAATGAACAGATTCATGGAAGAAAATGACAATGAGGAGTAGCAAAATGAGATTCATAGTCTGGAAATGAAAGGCCCAAAAAATTAATCACCTACTTAAAACTAACAGAACCAAAAGTTAAAAAATATACACAACGATGGCAGGTGTCTGTAGCAAAGCTTAATTCAATACTGTCAACACTCGTCTTTCTGATCATACCAGTAATTTCCTTCACAGTTCATAGGTAAGCCACTGTGTCTATAAGAGGAATGCATCAAACATGAAATAGAAAAGCTTCCCCTACACAGAATGGACAGCAATTTTAGGTCAAAAGGCATCAGTGACCTTTCTGGAGAAATAAAGAAGTGCTCTTAATGAGAGAAAGACATGAAAGAATTAGGAACTATGTGAACTCAATACTCAATTACTGAAACTTAATGGGCTTTGTTTCAGGCTTACAAAATAATTGATCTAACACAAGGGTCTTGCTCAAAATTAACTTCAAAAAGTGTGCTTTACTTTGTTAAACTAACCTCTGAAGCCAGAAATTCAAAATGAGAAACAGTTTCTTCCTCTGTTAGCTGCTCTTCCCAATAAAACCACAGGACCATGGCAATTACTTCATGTCCTTATATAACACACATATGTTCCTTTCCACCCCAAAAGAGAAGTTTTGTTTGTTACCTCTTACCGACAGTTATTTTGACAGTTCTTTTCTGAGAGTCCATCCTCATCTTCTCCCATAATATCCACTGCCGAAAATATCAGTGCAACCAGAATTGCAAAGCAGCACACCAGAGCAAAGATCACAATGCATCTTTGCTGGGACTGAAAGAGATTAAGATTAAAAATATTTTAATGGCATGAGGACATCTAGTCAACAACTTGAGACTCTAAAACTTTTATATGAGATCTAAATTTCTTTGAAGATCTTACTCCATAGTTGTCAACATGAAACACACCTCAGGATGAAAACCGTCACAAAACTTCATGTATGACCTTGAGATGTATTTTAAATCTCTCAGACACTGTTTAATAATTCATGTCACAAATAATATCTGTAATTTAAACTTATTTCTGTTTGTACCACAAGGAAAGCATTATGCATTAAAATAACAACTCCTACATTAACTATGTATTTTCTGATTGTGTCTCACAGGTAAAGTACACAGCTGGGATGGCACTTAAAAGTTTTGTTGTGTTTGGTGGAAATAAAATACGTCTTTGCAAGAAACCTGAAGAACAAACTTTTTTCCTATTGCTAGTACCTGCCATCATCACTATGACTGTCACAATCACTCAGATACTTTGGGAAGTCCTTGCCTGACACTATTTATAATATAATGAAAACAAATTCACAGACAATAGATAGGACTCAAGGAAACAATGGGAGACTGTTGCTCAGTATGACAGGTAATGCCCTCCACATCTCAGATTAAATATTAAAACATGGCATAGCACTACCTTATGAAATCTTGCAGTAATAAATCATATGCACCTGGTAGTGCCCTAGATAAACGTGAAACCTCTGAAAGACAGTCTCTTAACGTTCAATTTACATAGCTGCATAAACATGAAGTATATTCTATTCTGAAACCAAATATTCAAACAAATATATGGCATTTTTCTACTGAAGTAAATTTAAGCAAGACCACACCCATATATGAAAATATCAACATCTAACTTCTGTTGCAATAGTTACTTTCTTAATTTTCATTATTGCTGTGTAATTAAAATGTCACATGGAAGAAAAGGCCTCATAAAGGAATGGGAAAGTGGGAAAGCATGAAAAATGTAAGGAAAAGGAAACAACATCACACTTGCAGCTGATAACCGATTTCATCGTATTTCCATTGCTTCTGTGTCACACTATTGGGAACAGCAAGAAGCACAACATGGACTCTCTTGTGAGTTGAACAGAAGAGTGAGGTTTATTACCTCAGATCTTCTTTTATAGACCGATACGCGAAAGTCCAGAAAGGTGAAACTCTTATTGGTCAATGAACTAACACATCACCATCACTGGTCAGTGGTGTACACCACCCCTCGACCTTCTCTTGCAAGAAAACAAGAAACTGACAAACAACACCTGCAAGGCTGTCTTCTATCTCCGAGGATTGTTTTGATTTCCTCATTATGATTTCCCAGGCCACTTTCTCAGGCAAGACTGAGAAAGTTATGCAGCCTGCTTTTCTACAGGCACTGTGCTCCGTGCTTTTGCTCATATTTAGCATCCATACTTCTGATATTTTGTTTGAGACGCAGTAAGTTTCAGAGTAATGAGAACATTCTTCCATACACCTAAAGAAAAGGTCTAACTTTTTTTTGAATGAAAAAGCTTCCAATACTTCCCAGTTAGTGCACCCCTCAGGAGAACCATGCTCATGTTTCATTTCAGAGTAAGATATAAAGATTTTATTTCAGTCTCTGAAAACACAAAACACAGCAAACAACATCTCCAGACAAACAGGAAAAACTAATTTGAAATTTAGTGACAAAAGTATCCTTTAACAGCAACACTGAATGTGTGTTATATGGGTTTGGGTTTGGGTTATATGCATATTTTAAATATAATGCATATTAGACACTTTTATACATTTCAAATATATGTTTAAATCTGTATTTCCAATATATTAACTAAAATCCTACAAGAATGCAGCATAAGAAAAGATTCTTCAGCCATACAAAAAGCCAACTTAAGAAATAAATAAAATTTGGAAAGTTTTTTTTTCCTGCTGCTAGGTAGAATCATGACAACATTTGAAAAGAGTTGCAAATTACTGCACCTGGGTGTCCAGAACTAAGGCCACAGAAGTGGAACTTAGGAGAAAATTGTTAAACATTGTCTCATTGTCTCATACTACTGGCAAGAAAAACTAAGAAGTTCCAAAGAAAAGTAGATAATCAGGTCTGGAGTACTGCTCAATGTCATTTCTTCTTCAGGACACTTCAGACTGCTGTTAAGACGACCACTATCCCATGTAGTTGTTTGCAGTACCACAAGTGTATTCACAGAAACTCTTTGAAGCAGGTTCCTCCACATACTGAACTTGTCACTATGGCAGCAAGACAGCAAAGCGATTCCCATAAACAGCAAACTAAAAAGAGCCCGGGCTCATTTTCTAGTTCCTACGAGCAGCAGATGTGACCCAGAGGGGCTCGCAACAATAGGGCTTTCTTTCCTCCCAAATCAGGTTAACTGCCGCCATTCTACACACTGGGACTAGTTTTGAGTTACTCTGGATACATCTGTAGCACAAGCATCCCAGCTGCCACACCGCATGAGACTTCATGCTATTGCTCCAGGGAATAACTCCCATCCTTTTGCTACACTGCCATGAAAGCCACACAACAACTACAGAGACTAGTGGGATCACTGGACCAGCAGGGACCACATCAGCCTTAGATGCTTTGAGACTAAAAGGTGGCCACAGTGTTGTAAGTCATAAACACGCCTCTAGAAACCTCTCAACCTGCTTAAAGTTTGAAGGTCATATAAGCCTAAAAGCTTGAAATCCATATAAAATTTACCGTGTACCAACAATAATATGGTATCACAAGGAGGAGGGGGTGTGGGGGAAAAAAGGCAGCTGCAACAGAAGCTCAATTTTAAATACCAGGAAATCTTATGGTAGCAATTTCTTCTATGTGCTCATGTTAAAGCAATATGGAAAGGGGAGGTCAAAATAATTCTGAATGGATCCTCCTAATATAGCATTAATTTCCATTACACATAATTTTGAGGAATATTCAATGTTTCTTGATTTCTGTGTTGTAGCTGAAAATTGTATGTAGTTTAAATCCCTGTTCTTTCATGTACACAGCTTGTCAAGAAGTTCTGCAGTTTGTAAGTACTGCTCACTGTAAGCAGCACAAACTTAGTACCATTAGTAAGACTACTGCTATTCTACCAGCACTAAAATAAAGACAGAACCACAGAAACCCATTTTACTGCTCTTATTTCACAGATCCTTTATATTATGCAGTTGTCTTTGACGACTATATTCATTATACTATTCATTAGCTCACTTTTTCTTAAGTACCAGCTTAACAGTATGGTGACCAATAGCACAGGGAACCTTTCAAATCAACATTCAAACCCCCCCCGTGACTACAGTAGTTTTTCTTTGAACTAGGGATAGCCTAAAATAGTAAATAAAATAAAGCAAAAAATTCCAAGTTTGTGATTCTCCTAATTCTACATTTTCAGTCAGAGGTCTGAAGGGTCAAGTAAAGACCAGTAAAAAAATTTTTAAGAAAGTAAGGAGGATTTAAAAGTTTCACAGTTCATATTGAACTTACTACTGATGTGGGTTTTTCACTGCTTTTAAATCTATATATTACATTATAAATTAATGTTTGGAAATAGTTTACATTAAAATTCATATTTATACTAGAATGGAAAGAATAAAAACCAGCTACATGCATCAAACAAGTCTTCTGAGCCTATATTTTCACAACAGTAATAAGCCTTTATTTTTATGCACTTTGCTATAATGCTGACAACTTTCAAATAACCTTTTCTTAATTGAAACAGATTAGGACAGACCACATCCCTGTTCTATCATACCATCCATGCAGGCCTCTCTGTGTGTCTATGTGCAAGTAATAACAGGCTTCATGAAAGAATCCAAAATCAAAGAGCTCACACCACTGACAGGCTAGAAGGGACCCGCTAGGCTGCTCCTCAGACCCCTGCATCAGTGGGCTTGGGCAGACTGTTTGTTTGATGCTGTCTTGTTGCACATCCCCTTGGCAACTGGGATCCCTCTAAGCTTATCAGACCTATCCTTCTGTTTCCTCCAGTAAATGCCTCAGCGTTCAGGCTTTCAGTCTTCAACCCTTAATTACAGAATACAGGGTTGTGAAGGATCTCTAAAACTTATGCAGTCCATCTGTCCATAGACACAGTTAGTTTGTACTAATATTAATTCTAATAGATATTTTTTTAACCTGTCCTCAAAAATCTAGAATTGAAAGAGATCCTGTAGTCTTTTCAGGCAACCCCATCCCATAACTAAGAACCTGGCTGATGCTTAACTTAAGTCTCTTATGCTGCAACAATTCTTTTTGTCCTTCTTACACTCATGGAAAACTGTGAACAGCGCATTTCATTCTCTCTTTTACATATTTAAAGGCTTCTGTAGATGCTAAGAGGCCCGGGGCCAGACCACCTACTAGCTTGACTGTACTGATGTGCAAGCCCAGAAATTCTGTTGCACAAGAGAAAGATTTGTTCAGGGCTTAAGGAAGATTGGGAAAGAAACTCCTGCAGGAACAAGGACTATCAAAAATACTGTGAGTAAAATGTATTTCTTTCACCTGGCTCAACTAGCTTAAACATCACTTAAGTTAAAATAAATCCACCAAAACACTGCATTACTAACACAAAGCATGGGGATTTTTTCATGCTGTTATACCTCTAGGGAGAGAGTGAGAAGAAAAGCCAAAAGCTGCACAATGGGTATTCAGTACTATTAAGACTGAAGTTTAATCTGGAAAGGACCTGATTGTTTACTATTAAGAAAAGGGATAGCCTATGTCAATTAAGCTTATCAGAGCCTGTGATACCTATGCAGAATTGAGAATGACAGCAAGAAAAAGGCCTCCATCTTTACTGCACTCACATTGCTCAAAAGCTGTTAAGAACACTTCATTGGCTCCTAAAGCTTTCAGTTCCTTCACAAACAACAGGCACTTCTGTGAGACTGAGATTTTAATCAGGAATTTATTCTTCCTCCAATGCAGTACAAGAATCTCCTCTCACAAAACAGGAGCCATGAAATTGCAATGCTGCATCTACTGATAAAACTGACTGCATAACTACA